GGTAAATGCGTCGTAGCGGACATAATTTGAAAATTTTAATGGCTTTTGATTCCTTTTCTTCTTCTTCTTTTAATTTTTTGCTAGGTCCTTTTCTCTTTTTCGTACAGAGCCACTTGTTCCATTTGAGATATGGTGATTTTGGTTGGTCATCAGTACACCGACCAAAAGAATTTATTAGGACATCTCCACTTAAATTCGATTAACGTAACTCCTAAAACAAAAACAAAAAATCAAAACTTGCGAATTTACGCAGCGAGGATGTGATCAAGTACAAAATATTGTAAAATGTGTTTTCTTTTTTTTTACAATATTCTATAAATATTAGTTACGTTTGATTCTAATCAAGTGCACATGATGTCAAAAATTGTATTTTTGTGTAATTTTACAACATCGCACCACCGTTAACGTTGTTTTGTTATAAACATGCAACATATTATAAAGTATGAGAGAATACGAATTTTTTGATATTATGAGTATGATGGTATACAAAGAATTTCCGACGTTACGGCATAAGTGCAATATTTTATAAAATGTGGATTTTTTTTTAACTTAGTTTTATGGCAACTAAGTGAATGTCGTTATTTTCATGTTTTATTTTATGAGATATAGATATTGCGACAATTATCAAGACTTAAACATCCTACAACTTTATGAGCGTTATGACATTTCATATAACAAAATGTAGAGTAAAATAAAAAAAAACAAGCTAAGATCGACCAAAAAGAAAAAAACAAGCTAAGACTGGTGGCTATTCGCCCTCGACTAGAAATAAATTCTGGAAACTCAATATATATTGAACAAAAGTTTAATTTTTTTAATTCCTAATTGTTGATCGATCTATCTTGACATTATAAATTAGATGTTCCATACCCACTTGACCAATCTAGAACTCATTTTTAGTGGGGAAGGGTTTAAGGGCTGCATGTATAGGTGACACTTCGTTATACCTTTCTTAATCACTCATATGTGTAACTAACACATTTAATTATTTCATTCGTCCTTTATTTTTTCGCAATAGGATATAGCAATATTCCTAAATTTTATATATTACCATATCATATCCAATCTTATAATAACTAGAAATTCAGACGCAGCATTTGACCATAAGTAAGGATAGAAAAGTCTTAGACAACGGAAGGTTTGGGCTGGGCCGGTATATGACATCGAACTTTTAACACGAGTCTATGTCAGACCTAATTATGAGTCTAACAGGACACGAAAGACCTAAACGCCAGGTCCAAAGTTCGAATGGTAGAAAACCTAATAGTTTTAAATCATGGGCAGATTCAAGGAAAAAGAATTATTAGGCCATACGTCGAGTCGGATCAGATCTACTCTAAATCATGTACAAGTTTCATTCTTAACCATAAATATATGTCCATGAGGAAGCATGACCTCATTGAATGACCTTTTGGCAGTTTAGTAGATGACCTACGACAAGAAGTCATCCTTATCCTTTCCCTTATCATTCCTGCGTTATATACTCAAAGTCCGTACGGTCGTATATAGAGGATGTTGCATGACAAAATTGCTGACTACTTGTCAAATTTAATCTACAATATTACCACGTAAGAACAAGCTAAGACCGGTGGATCTTTGCCCTCAACAAAAAATTAATTTTGGAATCTTAACATATATATATAACCCAACTTTCATTTTTTGATAATTACTATATTGCCAATCCATCGATCTTGACATGATGAATTAGATGATACATACCTCAACTTGACTCACTTTGTCATTGGTCGAGCCAGAGTTTTTCTAACTCAAAGTCAATGTCATACTACATTCGGGGATGGATTTAGAACTCTTTTTTAGTGGGGATAGGTTTAGCTGCTGCCTGGACATGTCGCATTCTGTTATATCTCTCTCGATCTCTAATATGGGTATCTTAAGCACATTAGTAAGTATAAGAGAAGAAAAAGAAGTTTGTACAAAAAAAGAACAGGAAATAATAAGAAGGTGGTGGAATAAAATAATATTTTTTTATTTAATATAGACGGTCTTGTTTTTTCGTGAATATGTGCAGCTTTTTCATTTTCAATAAATTACAATTTTCACCATTTTCACTTGTGCGCCTAATAGCTTCTCTGCCAACTTTTTTCGGAATTCTTGTAATGTAGCGGCAAAATGGGAAAATTTTCAAAAGCTTAAGGAATATCAGTAGGTTTATCTAGAAATTAGTATCTCGTGGATAGAGCTGTTTTTGACAACATGTTCATTTATCTCCTTTGGATAAAAGCCACAAAAATCCTAAACTATGCCCATTGTGACACATTTATCCCAAATTTGTAACTTCTTCTTGTCACACAAAAAATCCCAAACTTGTATCAGTACGACACATTTACCCCAAAAATTTGGTGTCATGGAAAAAAAAGTTTAGAATGTTTGGTATTACAAAAAAAAATTTGGGATAAATATGTCACACGGGTATAATTTTTGGGTTTTTGGTGTCACAGAAAAAAGTTTTGGGTAAATTTGTCATACAAGTACAAGTTTGGGGTTTTAGTGTCACAAAAAATAGTTTTGTGTAAATGTGTCACAGTAAGCAAAGTTTGAATTTTTTTGTGGCCTTTTCCCATCTCCTATACAAAATTCTAATTGTCTCGTTGAGTCAATTAATGAGCTACTCGTGTAAAGTATATAAAGAAAAGAAAAAATAACAAAAAGTCCCTCATCTTTGGTTTAATATACAACATTATTCCTGAACTTTTAATTTTTTGAATGGGGTTCCTGAGCTTTCGTACATGATTCAATTTAGTTTCTCAACTATATAAAAATATTCAATGTTGTCCCTGAACTCGAATTAATATAAAGATAATATTGATATTATCATATAATCTAGGTACAAAATTAAACATTTACCAAAAGTTCAGAGATGACATTGCACATTGGGCTAAAGTTCAGGGACGACATTGAACAAATGAAAAATTTAGAAATGACATTACACATTGGGCCAAAGTTCAAGTACCATTTATGTAATTATCCCTAAAGGAAACCTTCGATCCAACTTCAATTTGCATACTCCAACTCTATTCTCTACTCATAACATTGCTCGTTCCCGTCCACTCCCAAAGCGTTCACCGCATCAAACTTCACATCATCGATCATCTCCAGATTTGAACATGTCCCAAAACTGCTTTGGTTAGTACTTAGTACAAACTCATGGGAACGTTCGGTTCACGTTCATGAGTCTCGTCACACGATTTCCATAAGCAATCGGAATCGATATTTCCTCATGTTCTCTGTTTTTGTATCCTGCGGTGGGAAATCATTGAAATTTCCACAAGCAAATCGGAGCCAATGACATGGTTGGAAAGGTCTTTGTTCTTGTTTCTCCACTTGGTAAAGTTTGACAAAAAGCAGACAAGTGACTACGACTCCCGACCCGAAGTGGCCAAGTTGGGGTCCGTCGACTTGCGGCATGAAGCTACGTAAGATTTGTACCAAAACCCCCCGTTTTTCTATAGTAAGACTTCTTTCTTATATGATCATGTGATGAATTCATAATTGTCAAGGCTGGACCTAAGAATCTTATGAAAACGGCGCTAGGTAGCCCAATAAAATTAGGAGGACAAAATCATAACTGCCAACTTGAATTGGGTGCTTAATGTGGTCCACATTTTAAACGCTCGGTTATAATTTATCGTGTCGTTGAATGTATCGATTTTTTAGACCATCCTCACTCATCTATTTTGCACCAAAACTCGAAAGTTTCATAGAATAGCATTTGTCTACCTAAGTATATCAAGAATGATATACTGAATGAGCTGACAATCCGCGCATAGGTGATGGATTTGGTTTTTAACTAACCTGTTGGCACTTGATCATGTCCCAGTTATGCCGACAGGTTTTGGTTACTTGTTACACCAAGTTACCCGATGGATTGTGCTTGATAAGATACCACTTTAACATCGTCTCATTGGAACAGAAGCGGCTTGTCGGGGTCCCTGGTGCATACATTTTCTCACAAATGGAGACACTCTCCTACAACCCTCACATAAAATTTCTTCGCTCTTTCTTTTCTCTCTACGTTGATGCAATTGATAAGGCAATCCACCTATTTATAAGTAGTCCTAAGTCACCTATTTGTAAGTAGTCCTAAGTCGGTAGAGTCCCCAAGTATTTATTAAGCAATTTGGCAACATATTTTCTTCACTCTTCTTTTCTCTCTACGTTGACGCAATTGAAAAGGGGAGCCACCTATTTATAAGTAGTCTCCTTAGTTGGTAGAGTCTTCAAGCATTTTCACTAAGCAAGTTGGCAGTTGTTGGCTGATTTTCCTTTGAAAAAATCTGGAGATGGCAGGTAAGAAGGAAAAATCTGGAAAAAGGGGAGAGAGAGAGGCGGTGTTTCTTCAATACCCTGTATTTCCGAGGCCGGAAAGGAGCAAGACTAGCTTCGAAGAGCTTCCGGTGGGTGACCAGGCCCTTGTCGTCCCGGTCGAGCCCCTCGACCACAATCTCTAAGGCCATCTCTTCATCTCGTGTCCTAAGTAAGTCCCCTTTTCAACAGTATCAATCGAGTGGGAACGCGCTGACTGAAAGATGCTCGTGTCAAGATGCTTGATTAGTTAACTAATCTCTTGATAATTGGTAGTTTTCGGTTCACACAAAAATTTGGAGGTACGGTTAAGAGTCACGCTCACAAATCAAAGACGTGTAAGGCTTACACTTCGAAACTTACCTAGAAAGTGGCCCACAATAACCACGCGCGAAACCATATAAATCTTATAGCACGCGACTTCATCCTTCATCTCTTCTTCACAACTCAATAACTCCATCATTAGTTTTCTCCACACGCTAAAAATGAGCTCTGCAATTCGAGAAGAAGAAGAGTTGAAGATGGAGGACGACATTAAACCCCCAAAGACGTACGTGGACTCGAGTATGTACAAAGCAGCCAGAGAAGGCAACTTCACTGACCTCGAAAACTCGATCCGCCAGAAACATGGAAGCAATAGAGAAGAGGAAGCCCTACTGGACCGCCTCCTACTAGAGACCCGCAAGGGCAACAATCTCGTCCACCTCGCAGCGGAGTCGGGCCACAAGGACTTCATCCAGCAGGTCCTCCGGAAGTGCCCCCTGCTCGCAGCCAAGCCCAACTCCTGCGGCGACACGCCACTCCACGTCGCAGCGCAGATAGGCCGCTCTCACATCGTGGAGGCCATCCTCTCCAAGGCCAAGCTGCACGGGGGACGCCCACCACCGAGACGCCAGGCACGCGGCAGATGAAGGAGATGGAAGATGGGGGCGTGGCCGGGATCAAAAGCAGCTTGCTGAGGTTGAAGAACAAGGGAGGGAACACAGCGCTGCACGAGGCGCTGAGGAGAGGGGATAAGAAGATGGGGATGTTACTGTGGAAAGAAGATAGAGAGATGGTGGGGAGCGTGAATGAGGCCGGCGAGAGCGCATTGTTTGTGGCGGCGGAGTTGGGGATTGAGAAAGTGGTGGTGGAGATGGTGGAGTTCTTGGACATGCACCGGGAAGTAGGCGTTTGGCATGGCGCTTTGAGTGGCCCGGACGGCCAGAACCCCTTGCATGCTGCTGTTCTCGCTGGAAGCTGGGGTACGTCAATCAATACGTGATTAAATATAGCATCTTATTTTCTCAATTAGTAAATGAGGCTTAATAACTTTGTTAAGAAGTGCAGTATTTCTCTAGGACATTTGACATTAAAAAGAAATTTAATAGCAGTGCTTTTGGTAGGTAAATTAAAAGACAAATAGCTCATTTCTTGCTGTTTAGATCATTTTTCATTAATTTCTGATCTCTCCTTTTAGCCTTAAATCTACATATATTAATAAAACTGATTTTTGCAAGTTCCAAGCTTTAATTATGCAGATTCTTTAGCTAAATGCCATCTAACGACAAAGATTATTTTAGTTGTTTTTTTTCTTCTTTTCTTCTTGCACGTCATTAGCCAAAAAATGAAGGATGCATCCATGATTTCTCTAAGTTTCTCTACTGAATTTAGTTGAAACATCTCTATTTATTTTTCATAAAATGTATAATATACTTGACCCAGGTAAGGGGAAAAACTCATATATATAATATGTTAGACAATAAAATTCAAAATATTTTAATTGCGATTTCTATTACTTTCACATGATATTCTTATAGGGAAAAGTGTCAGAAAAGTCCTAAACATTTGCATTTGTGCCAATTTAGTCCTAAACTTTTTATGTGCCAATTCAGTCCTTAACCTTTTGTCTTTGTGCTAATTTAGTTCTTCCCGCTAATTTTGGCCGGATTTTGCTGATGTGGACATAGTTACCTTACGTAGCACCGCCGGCAATGACATGGATAACTTTTAATAATATTTTAATATTTTTCGATTTTCTTTTTCTTTTTCTTTTTTTTTCCCTTTCTTCTTCCTCTAACCGGTCACCGGTGACCGGTTGGAGGCCAGGTGGCCTCTAGCGAGCCCCGCCGGCCACTGGCGAGGCTCTCCCTCGCCGAATCTGGTGCGGGTTGAGCCTCGCCGGCTAGCGTGAGGCTCACTGGAGGCTAGGGGGCCTCTGGCAAGCTCCACCGGCCAACGCGAGGCTCGAGCCCTCACCAGGGCTCTTCCTCGCGCAGGCCAAGGCCGGCCTCGCTCAAGCCACGTCGAGCCTCACCTGGCCTGGCCAGGCAACGAAGACCCTTGCCCAAGTGAGGGCAGCCCGCCCGGCCATGGCCGGTGACCCGTCACCGGCAAAGGGAGGAAGATAGAAAAAAAATTGAAAAAAAAATATTAAAATATTATTAAAAATTATCCACATCAGCGTCGACAGTGCCACGTAAGCAGACCGGCATCCACATCAGCAAAATCCGGCCAAAATTAGCCGAAAAAACTGAATTGGCACTAATTCAAAAGGTTTAGAGCTAAATTGGCACCAATGTAAAAGGTTTATAACTTTTCTAACATTTTTCCCTATTCTTATAAGCTAGTCGTTCTTTATCTCTTTACTTAGTTTCATGATTGGTGTCATTATTGTGGCTTCAAAGTATTATTTTTTATGCAAGTCGAATGTGAAAAAGGTATAAAATGGGATTTTTGTTAACGCAAAATTTCTTGATAAATGTCAAAAGACGAACCAGACTTTTCTCTTTCCTTTATAGTGCTCATCCCTGTTAACTAGTCGCACGCTTACAAGTCAAAAGGAGATAAGTGGAAAGCACTGTGGAAATTGATTTTTAAAGTAGTTGCATGGAAATAACAACTAACATACTGAAAACATTTAGCAAATACAGAAAACTCTAGGTGTCTACCGGTCTTTACACTATTCATATAGTTATCTTTTGCACAACGTGTAAGTGTGCGATATACGATTGCAAAATATAACTCACATGACTAGCAAATGTATTTTCTAGAACAGCAGGTTTGGACTGATGCGAAATCAAGTATGATTTGAAGTGTGCGTTTCTAATTTTATAGTGTGTCGGTAGTTAATTACCCCATGCCGCCTTTTAACTTTCTAGTTCAAGCAAACACTATTGTTAAAGGAACTGAAGGAGTTCATTTGTACACGCACTACTTAATTACTTTGAACTTTGTATTATTAACAATCGAAATCAATTGAGGCATCTCTGGGTCTTCCAAAAAAAAAAAAGAAACAGAAATGGATTTAAACATGCGTGAATGGTAATTGAGGGATTTTCAAGATGAATTTTTGTTTTTCTTCAAGCTTTATTGACCTACTATAGTATGTAGTGAAACCCATAACAAAATCTTAAAAGACATGTACTTTTGTAATTTGCTGTCCCCATTTTCTTTAATTAGTTTTACGGTAGGATCTCATAGTCAACGTTCAATTTCAACCAGAAATAAAGTATTTTATATTTATATGGCAACATGACCACACTTTTCAAAGTGTAGCTACAATTAGGTAAGGTAATACAATTTGGGATCATAGCTTTCTTCAACCTAGTTTGGTCACCATTTTGTCCAAGCCAACTTTCTAAGGTATACACTCTAGCATTGCCCGTACGTAAACTTAGGTCAGAAAATGCACATTACACACGTCTTCTCAATTTCTGAGTAATTTATGTGAGAAACAATAGGCTTTTTGCTAAGATAGTATATTGCACGTTCTTTTTCATCACACGGCCTTTTCTAGGCTAGCATGGCCCTTAATGACTCGTCATGAATAGTCAAGTTAGTTTACTTCCCACCAATCATAATTAGGATTATCATGTAGCTACACACCTACATCACTCTCAACTAACCAATCAATGGTGGTAATGGTTGATTGTGTAAAAAGAATTGCGTGTCATATGAAAATCCAAGAAGAAAAAGGGAACTTTGGTTGCAAATTTACCGGGATAAGGACACTAGGGGTGCTATAATTTTCGTACGACGCTCACTTGAGTGCCATAGCTTTTTTTTTCTCACTTAAGTGCCATTTCCGGCAAAAAGTGATCACTTGAGTGCCATCGGCTATTTGGCAGCCGGAAAATCCGACGTGGGTGCCAGTTGTACTACGTGGCTTCGCCAGAGTTGACGTGGACAATATTTTAACTTTTTTTAAATTTTTCTTTTTTTTATTTTTTATTTTTCCTTTTTTTTTTTGCAAATTTTTTTTCAATGCCAGCAAGGGTCACCAGCAACCCTCGTTGGCTGTGAAGGCCCTGGGCGAGGCCGTCGAGGCCTCGCCAGCGGCGAGCCAAGCCACGAAGGCCGTCACCAAATCTGGGTGACCGCGAGCGAGGCGGCCTCACCAGATCTAGCGAGAGCCTTCACCGCCTCGCCCGCGATCGGCGAGGCCGCCAAGGGCCTTTGCGGCCGCGAGCAAGGCGATGAAGGCTCTCGCCAGATCTGGCGAGGCCGCCTCACTCGCTGCAGCCCAGATCTGGCGACGGCCTTCGCGGCCTCGCCCAGGGCCTTCGCAACCAATGGTAAGGCGGCCGTCGCCCAATCTAGGCGAGGCTTTCACAGCCGGTGACCCTCACCGACATTGAAATAAAAAAGGAAAATAAAAATAAAAATTCAAAAAAATAAAATAAAATAAAATACATTTAAAAAATCCACGTCGGATGGAAAATTAATAAAAAAAAATCAACATATGATGATTTGCCGAAAATAGCACTCAAATGATCTATTTTTGCCGGAAGTAGCACTCAAGTGATCACTTTTTGCCTGAAGTGGCACTTAAGTGAGCAAAAAAAAAAGTTATGGCACTCAAGTGAGCACCTTAAGAAAGTTATGGCACTCCTAGTGTCCTTATCCCCAAATTTACCTATATAAACTAGGCTTACTTGAATGAATCAATTACATGTCCCTTAGGAGAAGTTATCATCTGGATGCAATGATAGAGCAAACTAAACCACATATCAAGAAACCATAACATCCGCAGCCACATCTCCCATTTCTTTGAATTATATTTCTATCTACTCTTAGTCTCTTCTAATGAGTTTCCTCATGTCCTAGGTTGCGTGGAAGCTCTCATACATCTCCAAGGATCGAATATGATCAACAAGCCCGACAATGACGGAAGAACAGCCCTGCACTTCGCAGCAAAAGCCAAAGAGAAAGACATCGCCGCTCTCCTCCTCCGAACCGACCCTTCTTCGGCCTACGCTCGGGACCTCACCCATGGCCGAACCCCGTTGCTCGAAGCCGCCCTGTCGGGCCACCTCTGCGTTATGAGAGAGATCCTCGAGCACTGTCCCGACACGGTCGAGATCGCCGACGAGGAGGGTCAGAATGTGGTTCACCTGGCGCTGAAGTGCGGGCCGAGCCACTCTAAGGAGGTGTTGAGGTTGCCCGAGCTGGTGAGGCTGGTGAACGAAACCGACGGTTGTGGGGACACGCCACTGCACGCGGCGGCTAAGGACCATAACTACAGAATGGTGAAGACGTTGCTGAAGATTCCTGGGGTGGATCTGAGGGCCAAGAATGCCGATGGCCTCACGTTCCTGGATATTTGCGAGTCTCAGTGGCAACACACCAAGAAGAAGGTAATTATTACCTCATCGTATTAAATGATCTTGCGGAACCAAAATCATAGTTCGTGAAAAATGTCGAAACGGATGGGGATTTTGTGTTGGGTTATGTAGGGAACTACCACGAAAACTAACGGATCTTGTAATATAAATTTGACGCGGGACAAAAAGATTTGTCAGAGAAATCAACGGGAACAATAAAAAAACACTCAATAATGTAAGTTTGTCAGAGTTTCGGTATTTACTCCACTAAAAGAGTAGGCCATAAAGAATCTTTTATTAAAACCCATCGTTCCATTCGGTTTTTAATAATATATGGTTGTTAGTAATTTGGTAACGTACAAGAGTTTTTTTGAATTTTTTTGTAAAAGTTTGAGCTGGAAATTGGTTAGTACTTTTCTCTATGATATTGTTTGCATTTTTTTCGCTTTAACACGTTGTTGTCGTCACATGTTTTAGTGTCTACCGGTACTTCTTAGTAATTTAAGTACATTAATCATGAGTTAATATCACGAGAAATCACAAACTAATACATATGTGAAAAATTTATCCTGAACTAATTTTTTGATCAACAAAAATCCCAAGCTGGTACACCTGTGATAAATTTACCCCAAACTAATTTTTTTACCACAAAAAATCCCAACCTGTTATACTTGTGACAAATTTATTCTCCGTTAAATTGAATTAATATCACGAAAAATCATAAATTGGTAAACATGTGACAAATAGAGGGGTAAAACCCCAAATTGATACATCCGTTAACTGTCACGTGTCATCCAACCCATCAATTTAATGGTAAAATTTAACGGAAACTAACGGAGGGTAAATTTGTCGTAAATGTACCAGTTTGGAGTTTTTTGTGGTCAAAAAAATTAGTTTGGGGTAAATTCGCCACAAGTGTACCATTTTGGGCTTTCCGTGATATTAACCCATTAATCCATCAGAGCCCATGTATCAGGTTATGTATATTAATCTTTTATTTAAATGTTAGAGATATTCAAATTGTTTTACAGAACCACTATAACGTGGCAAACTCGATAAAATTTTATAAACATGCATCCATTTCAGAAAAAATTAAACTACCGCTTCCTCTAACCGATCTATATAGGTTTACATTGTTTGGCGGGAAATCTAGGTTGTTGACAGCCTTGAAAGATCACACGAGCCTCACCGAGAAATAAAATGGTCCATTTCCATAAGCTGCTTCTATTAACTGCTGATCATAATTGCTCATATGCAGGAATACCTCTACCGATACCTGAAGTCCCTCCCGGCCGGCCGAAAGTCTCACACCTGGAACCACTCCGCCAACCGCCTCAACCCCCTCGACAAGCCCGAAGCCGACCTCAAGGGCCACGCCAATGCCCTCTCTGTCGTCGCCACCCTCCTTGTTACCATCACTTTTGCCGCTGCCTTCACATTGCCTGGCGGTTTGATAGATGACGACAGTGGCGCTCATCCACCGCAGCCATCCCCCTCATACAACTTCCACAACTCTCGTGGCCACGCCATCCTCATCTGCCAACCCGCATTCAAGGTCTTCATCCTAGCTGACGTCCTCGCCGTCTCTGCTTCCCTGATGGTCCTATTCATCTTGATCTCGGCCATGCTTGCCGACCAGACAGTCTCGAAGAGGGCCATCGTGTACAGCAAGAAGCTGCTCTACCTCTCCCTCGGGGGGACCTTGGTGGCCTTCGTGATGGGGCTGTACAGCGTCATATCGACCAACGTTGAATGGTTGGCGGTTGCCGTGTGCGTCATCGGATCGACCGTCCCATTCCTGATCAAGTATTTCCAGGTCAAGAGCTTCACTTCTACTCCTGTGTTTCTTAATCGGTTCCTCAGCAAGAAGGGCTCGAAGCGGATAGCACCCGAGCCGCAGAGTCAGATTGAGAGGGTCAGAGATGAATCTGAGTGCTTCGATGAAGCAGCCAAACGTGAAGCACGTCCTGTTCAGCTGAGGCAACTTTCTAGGCGCATCCCGTCAGGCAGATTAAAGTGATATACATATACATAAGGTTTTACGTTCCAAGCACCTCCTGTATTCCTTTTTTGTTGCTTTTAGGTTATCGTTGACTTGTCTCGTTTTTACCTAACTCAGAACTCATATTCATCATTCCGCGCGCTTGCCCAAATAGGTTTAGTTATGCACTACGCACTCAAAGTCGTCTTGACATTCATAGTGAAAGTTGAAACAATTTTCTTCTTTTGTGTTTGCATGTCATTCATCCAGTATATCCTGCATAAATAAAAATCCACACGGACGTAGAAGATTCGAGACTTAAAATTAAGTCGGCTTCAACAAATATTTGCAAGTTCAGGGGAAACTGTCGGCGTACTGCATCAAGAGTTTCTACCTGGCATCTCTCTGGACTGTTCATTCATGTTCTGATGCTTGCAGATGTTGACATTAAGTAATTCCCTGAATGGAGTTTTTCCTCTTCTTCGCCAGAATGGTTCTAACGGTGCTCGCGGTTTCTCAATTATCTGCCATGACCATCAATCCAAGTCTGCTGGTATAATTGATTTCTGTTATTTAAATTCAGGTTGTCCTCCAAATACTCACTCCTCTTTTTCTCTTGTCCATCTCCTGGTACTTTAACGCTCGCCTCTTTGGTGCTCTAGCGGGTACCTCAAACCTCATCTCTCCGTAAGATGGCTCGCTGTAAATGGTAATCACCTGAGCCTAATTCTATCTAACACGTAGTTCTATGGCAGATGGACAGATCCTTTCCCTTGCAGATCTAAAAGCTTCATATTCTCCTCTCAATCGTCAGTCTTCTTTTACGCCGTCAGCACTTGTACTCTCTCTCTCTCTCTCTCTCTCTCTCTCTCTCTCTCTCTCTCTCTCTCTCTCTCTCTCTCTCTCTCTCTCTCTCTCTCTCTCTCTCTCTCTCCTTTTATGCTCTTAAGGATCAGTAGACGAAAATATATTAATTTGGCTCTGCAGAACTTTGTAGCCTGACCACACATTTGAGGCAACGGTCATCATAATTCATGAAATGCAGATAGTCTCAAGTTCAAGAAGTTTTGCAGTGGATTGGATCTCACATGAGTCAGAATGTATTAGATAACACTTACATGTCATAAGGTAGTTTTCACCTTTTTCTTTAATCTTGTTAGGTGCGTTTTTGTCAAGCTGTGGTTGTAAAACTCAATGATTTTAACGATTGAAGCCCAATAAGTGATGACTTGTGACTAATTAAAGGGGAAACTGACACTTGAAGTGATGCGCTCACTTTAGTGCCAAAACTTTTCAAGCAATCACTTCAGTGCCACTTTTTAATAAAACGATTACTCCAGTGCTAAGAAAGTTGAATAAAATAATATTTTTTTTATTTAATATAGGTAGTCTTGCATTTTATGAATATGTGCAGCTTTTGCATTTTCAATAAATTACAATTTTCGCCATTTTCATTTGTGATTTTGATCACTTATATGAAAATATTTAATGTTATTCTTGATATTTACATATAATATAGGGACTAGATTGAACATTTACCAATAGTTCAGAGACAACATTGTATATTAGGCTAAAGTTCAATGACAAAACTAAACAAAATTAAAATTTTGGAACGATATTGCACGTTGGACGAAAGTTCAAGTATCATTTGTGTAGTTATCCCTAAAGAAAACCTTCAATCCGACTTCTATTCACATACTCCAACTCCGTTATCTACTCACAACATTGCTTGTTCCCGTCTACTCCCAAATTGCTCGCCGCGTCAAGTTTCACGTCATCAATCATCGCCGGATTTTAACATGACCCAAAATCACTTTGGTTAGCACAAACTCATGGGAACATTCGGCTCACGTTCATGAGTCTCGTCGCACGCGATTTCCACAAGCAATCGGACCCGATATTTCCTGTATTCTTTGTTTTTTTCATCGAAATTTCCACAAGCAGTCGTCGCCAATGACATGGTTGAAAGGTCTTTGTTCTTCTACCTCCACTTGGTAAAGTTTGACAAATAGCAGACACGCCATTACAACTTTCGACCCGAAGTGGCCAAGTTGGGGTCCGTCGACTTGCGTCATGAAGCTACGTAAGATTTGTACCAAAACCCGCCGTCTTTTCCTTAGCAAGACTTCTTTCTTTCTTATATGATCATGTGATGAATGCATAATTGTCAAGGCTAGACCTAAGAATCTTGTGAAAACAGCGCTAGGTAGGAGAATTAAATTGGGAGGACAAAATCATAATTGCCGACTTGAACTGAGTGCTCAATGTGGTCCACATATTAAGCGCTCGGTTATAATAGTATATCGCATCGTTTAATGTATTGATTTTTTATAGACCATCCTCACTCACCTTATATTGTACCGAAACTCGAAAAAGTATGAGAGAATAGCATTTGTCTACCTAAGTATATCAAGAATGATAATAAATTCAATATACTGAATGATGTAACAATCCACGCATAGGTGACAAATGTGGTTTTTAACTACCTAGTCAGAACCTGGTCATGTTCTAGTAATGCTAACAGGGTTTTGATTACCTTAACCGATGGTAAACGAAGTTGTCCGACGGGCTGAATTTGATAAGATACCACTTTAACATCGTCTCATTGGAACAGAAGCGGCTTGTCAAGGTCACTGGTGCATACATTTTCTCACAAATGGAGACCCTCTCCTACAACCCTCACATACATTTTCTTCACATTTTCTTTTCTCTCTACATTGGTGCAATTGATAAGGGGATACACCTATTTATAAGCAGTCCTAAGTCACCTATTTATAAGTAGTCCTGAGTTGGTGGAGTCCCCAAGCATTTATTAAGCAAGTTTGCAACATATTTTCTGCACTCTTTCTTTTCTCTCTACATTGATGCAATTGAAGAGGGGAGCCATCTATTTATAAGTAGTCCTAAGCTCCTAACTCCTTAGTTGGTGGAGTCCTCAAGCATTTTTACTAAGCAAGTTGGCAGTTGGCAAGTTGCCAGATGTTGGCTGACTTTTCTTTGAAAAAATTCTGGAGATGGCGGCTAAGAAGGAAAAAATCTGGAAAAAGGGGAGAGAGAGACAGGCGGTGTTTCTTCAACACCCCGTGTTTCCGAGGCCGGAATGGAGCGAGACTAGCTTTGAAGAGTCTTCCGGTGGGTGCCCGGGCCGTCGACGTCCCCGTCGAGCCCCTCGACCACCATCTCTAAGGCCATCTCTTCATCTCGCGTCCTAAGTAAGTCCCTTTTCTCAACAGTATCAATCGAGTGGGAACGCGCTGACTGAACGATGCTCATGTCAAGATGCTTGAATAGTTGACTAATCTCCTGACAATCGGTAGTTTTCGGTCCACACAACAATTTGGAGGTACGATTAAAAGTCAACCTCTCAAATCAAAGACGTGTAAGGCTTATACTCCGGAACTTACCTAGAAAGCGGCCCACAATAACCACGCACGAAACCATCTAAATTTCATAGCTCGCGACTCCATCATCGTTGATCTCTTCCTCACAACTCAATAATTCCATCATTTGTTTTCTCCACACGCTGAAAAATGAGGCCTGCAATTCCAGAAGACGAAGAGATGAAGATGGAGGAGGACATGTACATGGACTCAAGTATGTACAAAGCAGCCAGAGAAGGCAACTTCACTGGCCTCGAAAACTCAATCCGCCAGAAACATGGAGCTAATAGAGAAGAGGAAGCCCTACTACTAGAGACCCGCAAGCGCAATAATCTCGTCCACCTTGCTGCGGAGTCGGGCCACAAGGACTTCATCCTGCAGGTCCTCCAGAAGTGCCCCCAGCTTGCGGCCAAGCCCAACTCCTGCGGTGACACGCCGCTCCATGTCGCGGCACGGACAGGCCTCTCTCACATCGTGACGGCCGTCCTCTCCAAGGCCAAGCTGCAAGGGAAAACGCCCACCACCGACACGCCCTCCACGCGGCAGATGAAAGAGATGGAGAATGGGGGCACGGCCGGGATCAATAACAGCTTGCTGAGGCTGGAGAACATGGGAAAGAACACGGCGTTGCACGAGGCGCTGAGGAACGGGAACGAGGAGGTGGGGATGTATCTGTTCGATCAAGATAAAGAGATGGCGGGGAGCGTGAATAAGTCCGACGAGAGCGCGCTGTATTTAGCGGCGGAGTTAGGGATTGAGAAAGTGGTGAAGGCGATGGTGGAGTTCTTGGACAGGCAGCGTGGAGGAGATGTTTGGCATGGCGCTTTGAGTGGCCCGGACGGCCGAAACCCCTTGCATGCAGCTGTTCTTGCTGGAAATATTGGTACGTCAACTAATGCATGCTTAAATGACTAATTTCGCCGCAGTCCTTCCATTTTTTTTAAAGAGATTAATATTAAACATGCACATTAAGCACGGAAACGATCCCATCGGCCATTGGGAGATTGAATTGTTATTGGCACGACACAAAAGCAAGAAGTTTAATAGAAGTGCCATCTGTCCTTTTAGCTTTAAATCTACGTATATGTTACTAAAACTGACCTTTGCAAGTTGCAAGCATTAAGGCAGGTACTTATTAATTATGCAAATTCTTAGGTAAATACCATCAAACTATAAAGATTATATTGGTTGTTTTTTTTCTTTTCTCTTTGTAAGTCATTAACCAAAAAAATGAGGGATGCGTCCATGATTTCTCTAAGTTTCTCTACTGAATTTAGTTGAAATATCTCTATTATTATTCATAAAATGTATAATATACTTGACCCGGGTAAGGAAAAACCCGTATCTGTAATATGTCAGACGATTTAATTCATACTATTACAATTGCGATTTCCATTGCTTTCGCGTGATATTCCTATTTGAGCGTCGTTCTTCATCTCTTTACTTAGTTTCATGATTATTGTCACTATTGTAGCTTTTTTTCTTTTGGTCAAACATTATTGTAGCTTCAAAGAGCTATCTCTTATGCAAGTCGAATGTGAAAAGGTATAAAATGAGATTTTAGTAAACGCAAAATTTCTTGATAAATGTCAAAAGAAACCAAACCTTTCTCTTTCCTTTCTAGTGCTCATCCGGGCAAGCTAGTCGCACGCTTAAAAGTCAAAGGAGTTTCATGGAAAGCACAGGGGAAATAGATTTGTAAAGTATTCGCATGGAAATAACAATCTACTAGTGGACTGAAAATATTTACCAAATATAGAAAACTCTACATGTCTACCGGTCTTACCACTATTCTGATCTTTTGCGCAACGTGTAAGCGTGCGATATAAGAATGCAAAATATAGCTACGGAACTCATATGACAAGCAAATGTATTTTTCAAGAAAAAGAGGTTTCATCTTATGCTAAATCAGGAATGATTTGAAGGGTGTGCATTTCTATTTGTATAAAGTGTCGGTAGTTGGCTTGCCCACGTCGCCTTTTAACTTTCTAATTCAAGCAAACACTTAGGCAAGAATAATATAGAATGAGTCCAAATCTATTTAACTTCTCACCAGTTACAATTAGGATTAGAGGAAACTTTTTCGGCTATTACAAAAAGTACACATTATGTAGCTACACAAACTACTAAGAAAAAAGTATCAAAAAAGTCCTAAACTTATTATATTGATACAAATTCAGTCATAAACCTTTCAATTGGACCAAATTAGTCCTAAACATATTCACATTTATACCAATTGAGTCCATCCGGCCTTTTTTTGCCGGAAATCGCTAACATGGACGCCGGGCGTCCTATATGGTCGCTGCAACAAAAAAAAATTAGAAAAAGAATGTTATATAAAAAAATTAGAAAAAAAATACTAAAAAATTGTCAACTTTATCCACATAGTGCCAGTCATGCCACGTAGGACGGCCGGCATCCATGTCATTGTTTTATGACCAAAATTGGCCGAATTGACTCGATTGATACCAATGTAAAAAAAATTATGACTAAATTAGTCAAATTGAAAAGTTTATGACTGAATTGATACCAATATAATAGATTTAGGTCTTTTTTGGTACAGCTACTGCTATTGATTTATTTTCTATCTACTCTTCCGACGAGTTCTTCCTCATCTAGGTTGCGTGGATGCTCTCATAAAACTCCAAGGATCAAATATGATCAACAAGCCTGACAACAACGGAAGAACAGCCCTGCACTTCGCAGCCAAAGCCAAACAGAAAGAAATCACCGCTCGCCTCCTCCGAACCGACCCTTCTTCGGCCTACGCCAAGGACCTCATCCATGGCCGAACGCCACTGCTCGAAGCCGCCTCCTCGGGCGACCTTTGCCTTCTGAGAGAGATCCTCGAGCACTGTCCCGACACGGTCGAGATCTCTGACAATGAGGGTCGGAATGCGGTTCACCTTGCGCTGAAGTGCGAGCCGAGTTACTCTAAGGAGGTGTTGAAAGTGCCCGAGCTGGTGAAGCTGGTGAACAAAGCCGACTGTCGTCGGGACACACCATTGCACATGGCAGCTAAGGATCATAACTACAAAATTGTGAAGAAGTTGCTGATGAATCCTGAGGTGGATCTGAGGGCCAAGAATGCCGATGGCCTCACGTTTCTGGATATTTGTGAGTCTCGCTGGCAATACACCATGAAGAAGGTAGTTTTCTCAACTCGTCATATTAAATGATCTTGCGAACCAAATCATAATTCGAGAAAAATTGTCAAAACAGATGGATTTTTGTGTTGGGTTATAAAGTGAAATAACACGGAAACTAATAATCTCGTAATTAAAATTTAACGTAGGACAAAAAATATGTTAGAGACGGTAAAGAAAACTAGAGAATTACATGGTTGGTCTGAGTGTTGGTTCCTATTCCACATGAAGAGTTAGTCGCAAAAAACTTACCATTTCGTTCGGTTTCTAATAAAGCATGGTTGTTGTTAATTTGGTAACGTACAGGATTTTTACTGAAATTTTGAGCAAAAGGAAATTGGTTTTTACTTTTCTTTATAATAAAAACAATATGAAACGAAATTTAAGTTGTTGACTATCTATATACCTTTACAATCTTTGGCGGGAAATCTAGGTTGTTGACGATCTTGAAAAATCACACGAGCCTTACCATGAAATAGAATGGTCCATCTCCGTAACCTGCTTCTATTAGCTGCTGATCGTAATTGTCCATCTGCAGAAATACCTCTACCAACACCTGAAGGACCTCCCAGCCGATCGAAGGCTTCCTCCCACCTTGAACCCCTCCGCCAAACACCTCACCCCACTCGACAAGCCAGAAGCCGACCTCAGGGGCCACGCCAACGCCCTCACTGTCGTTGCCACCCTCCTTGCTACCATCACTTTTGCCGCTGCCTTCACATTGCCTGGCGGTTTGACGCCCGACGATGGGGGCGCTCATCCACCGCTGCCATCCCCCTCAAGCAACTTCCATGACTCTCCTGATTACCCACCTCCGAAGAAATTAAGCAGCCCCAGCTACCTTGAACCTGGCCACGCCATCCTCATCGGCCAATCCGCCTTCAAGGTCTTCATCCTAGCCGACATCCTTGCTGTCTCTACTTCCCTGATGGTACTATTCGTCTTGATCTCGGCTATGCTTGCCGACCAGACGGTCTTGAGGAAGGCCATCGCATACAGCAAGAAGCTGCTCTACCTCTCCCTCGGGGGGACCATGGTGGCCTTCATGACAGGGCTGTACAGCGTCATATCGACCGACGTCGGATGGTTGGCAGTTGCCGTGTGCGTCATTGGATCGAGTGTCCCATTCCTGACCAAGTATTTCCAGGTCAAGAGCTTCACATCTTCTCCTGTGCTTCTTCATCGGTTCCTCAGCAGGAAGAGCTCGAAGTGGATAGCACCTGAACCGCCGAGCTCCAGTCGGATTGAGAGGGTCAGAGATGAATCTGAGTCCTTCGATGAAGCAGCCAAACGTGAAGCACGTCCTGTTCAGCTGAGACAACTTTCTAGGCGCACCCGGTCTGGCAGCTCAAAGTTATATACATATACATAAGGTTTTACGTTCCAAGCACCTCATGTGTTCCTTTTTTTGTTGATTTTAGGTTATCGTTGACTAGTCTTGTTTTAACCAAACTCAGAACTCGTATTAATCATTCCGCGCGCTTACCAAATAGCTTTAGTTATGAACTACGCACAAGATTCGAGACTTAAAATTAAGTTGGCTTCAACAAATATTTGCAAGTTCAGGGAAACTATCCACACTAAAAAGGTGAGGCTTTTCATCACACTTATAAACCGACCACCAATCTCTTCCACAACCGATGTGGAATGACCTCAAAACTAATGCAAGCAGGTGTTGACATTAAGTAATTCCATTCGGCGCTCATGGTTTCTCAATTATCTGCCATGACCATCAATCAAAATTTGCTGGAATCATTGATTTCTGTTATTTAAATTCAGGTAGTCCTCCAAATACTCACTCTTCTTTTTCTCGTCCATCTCCTGGTACTTTAACGCACGCCTCTTTGGTGCTCTAGCGTGTACCTCAGCCTCTACTCTCTGCAAGATGGCTCGCTGTAAATGGTAATCACCTGAGGCCTAAATTCTATCTACCACGTAGTCCTATGGCAGATGGACAGATCCTTTCCCCTGCAGATCTAAAAGCTTCATATTCTCCTCTCAATTAAAGCATCAAATCTGATTTCAAATTTAAAGCAGATGGATTTTACTATGCCCTGATGCCTCAAGGACTTCATGAAATATTTGAATTACTTAAGCAATTAGCAAACAATAAATTAAAGGTCAATTAGGAAATTGCAAAGGATATGATTGAATAGGAACAGATTATTTTTACATTCTTGGATGCCGTGCTTGCTCGATGACCAGAATTGAACGATAAAGTTCTCGAAGGAAATTAATAAAGTGCGTAGAGAAAGTAAGACTCGACTAGAAAGCTTTTATACTCAAAGACAACTACTGAACTTAGGATTAATCTAATTCGAATTTGAAATTCAAACCCTAAGCAAAGATCTAATCTGAATGATCTTCTTCCAAACTTGATGGATTCCTTGATTGATGCAGTAGGATTCTTGTGCGAAGTATTAAAAGGTCTTGAGAGATATGTGCCTGTGTAGATAAGTGTGCAAACTTTTATTCGACCTTTGTTATGCGTCTTGATTTTCCTTCGCAATAATCTGCATCTGTCTCGTGCTACTTCAGGAAGACTTGTGACCGCTTTCCATTCTTTAGTTATAGTTATCCCTTAGTTAATGGATCTTTCTTGACTCGAACTTCAACTTTCATTCTCGTTTCCAGTCGATTAATCGTCACCATGTGTCGTGATCTCCACTTGAACTCTGTTCATTGGCAACTCCCGATTGATGAGCTCTTCAGACCCATCGATGGGTTTCGTGGGCCAATTATATTACCATGACTTTTATGATCGACGATCTTGTTTAGGCATTTAATCGAGTAGGTCTTATTGATTAAGTGTATTGCTATGGTCTCATTTGGGCTATTAGCTTCTTTATGTTTTGGTTTAGATTTTGGATCTGGTGTCAACAAATCTGTACTTGTTAAATAACTAAAATGTAATTAACAGACCCCATTGGGAAAATATATATGCACATAGCACAATGCATGTACGGATTAGAACTTTCAACCCAAGTGGCCAATTGGATCCGGTGGCTTCCATGTAAAGCTGTGCAAGATTTGTGGTCCAAAGCTCCACATTTTAGTTTTAGTCAAGATTTGTGATCCTTCAACAAGAAGTCTGGAATAAGGTAAGTCATAGTAGGAAAGTGAGTCACTTCGATAGATTTGAGGGCTGGAAATGGTATTCCGATTTGATCATGCAGCTTCATGATGCTATGAAGTAAAAAGAGGTGATGGAGATGGAGTTCTTCTAAATTGGACCAGGGATCACGCCTGGCACCGATTCAGCTGTTCTGATACAAGAGCTGTTGGACACGAGTTTCTCCTATCATTGACGACATATCGCATCGGGCTTTACTACTTGGTGGACACGTGCCTCCACAGTTAACAAGAGCTATCGATCTCACATTGCAGTGGCTGTCTGTGGCGGCTAAGTCTTGAGAGACCCAACTTTGGTCAGGATACGTGTAGTACTAGAGAACTCGTGTTCGTGAGGAACCAGCCGATCTTTCTCAGCTGAGAATGAGCACAACTGAGGATCATCGGTCTTTTGTTGTGTTCTGTGGTGAAGAATTCTGTATATACGCTCGAACCAATCGAGATGTGAAATCTTCTCAGCCTCCTAAACCAATTGAGCATTTCAGAATCCTGAGATGGAATCCCTCCATTCTAATGGTTATGTGTAGCAATTACTTCAAACCCGTCAGCTCTTGAAACGTCGCTTGCCTCAGGTCCTCTGTGCCCTCGCCCATCCTTTTGTAGCCGCTGCGTTTCATGTTGAGAACCTCCAAATTCGACAAGTTTGACATTGTTCCTGCTTGAATATTCGCCAAGTTGTAAGTTCGTGAAAGGTCCTACACCCTCAGATTATCCAATTTCTCTGTTCCTTACTGGTAGTTGAGTGATTCGAGTGCCGCAGAGGTCAAGGATTTCCAACTTGTAAAGCGTTGTTAATGGAGGTAACCTCGCTAGACAAATGCAGTCTCTTAGGAGAAGAGCGCGGAGCTCGCTCGCTTCAGTAAGAGGAGGCAATGCTGATATGCCAGTCCCGCTCACATTAAAGTTTTTGAGTGATTTAAACCCCTGCAGAAATTTATCAGGAAGTCTCTGGAGAGGAAAATTACCTTGCAGAAGCAAGGTCGTGGCCTTTGGATACCGTAGAACGCAATCCGGAAGCTCTACTAACTTCTTCTTCATGAAGGATATCCTTCTGACAGACCCCGTCATAGTTCTTTCAGGAAGATGGGTCAGGCCGATGCCCAATCGTACAAGAGACTGGTAGCCGGTTTCCAAAGAAGACGATATCCATATAGCAACATCCCTGACTACATCATGCATCTTAATGGTGCCTTCACAGGCACCAACTTCTAACAAATAATGATTTCTTAGGTAATCTATTACAGAAATTCCCTTGTTAAATGAACTATCATAGTCGTCTTGATCATCTATCAGACCTTCTGCTACTATTTCCATGTTAAGAACACTAGTACTTCAAAAAGAATGGCGCACCAGTGTTTTGGCTTTTCAGAGAGTTCAGGGAGAAAGTGTCTGCAAAAACCGGAGGATATGATCGGAAGTCGCTTCGCAGTATTATTTATAGAACTACCGGGATAGCCATAATCGTTGCTTCGCTGCGTAGATCAAAGTGGCAATGATCAAAGGAAGCTACGGCAAAACTCTGGACATAATTGTGGTTTTGTACATTGCACTCGTCATATTTCCTCTAACGTGTTTTCTTTGGTTTAAGCAAGATTGCGTTCAAGAAGTTGAAATCTCTCAAATCCTGAGCTTTTCCCACCTGAGGTCAGAACTCGAGTGGCTGACTTTTCAGCCTCTCAGGCATTTGTGCAATAAATGGGCCCAAGCCCAAAGCCCATCATTGACCTATAACTCCAACCGCTTAAGACCAGAGTAAATTAAAATTAAGAACAAAAAAATAAATGTAGATGGACACAAAGAGGATAAAAAGGAAAGAACATATAGAGAGAGTTGGTTCGTTGAAATGGACGAAGAGGAAAGCTGAAGACGAGAGAGAAAATTTTGCGCTCAGGCACCTCGGACGTCACGACAAGCTGAATTAACTCCCTCGGCATCCACAAGGCGATTTTTGAAAGTGATTGTAAGGTGTTAATTGATGCTATTCAACAAAATGGCATTTGTCCTTGGTGTATTCATCCTTTCGTCTCGGATACTCGTTTACTTCTCAGCATCAACCCAGAATGGAGTTTCAAGTGGATCAACAGATCTAGTAATGTTGCTGCTCATGAGCTTGCAAAATGGGCTTTTTATCATTTAGGAAATGCTTCGTCTTTCTTTTTTAATGATCTCCCACCTAGAGTCAAATACTTAGTGTTAGCGGAGTCTTCCTTTATTTATCGTGTTGATGTAGGCTCTAACTCTTCTGTGTAATATTGTACTTTTCTGATGCAATGGAAGGTTCGATTTAGCAAAAAAAAAAGCTGGATTAACTCCGTTTTGCAGTGCCCGACAAGAATTTGAACCTTTTGCTCATCTAATCGGAGTAATTTTAGGAGTTAGGCCATAAATTCGGAGTTAAGTGAATTTTGAACTGCAAGGTTCAATTGAGAAATTGTTAAGCTGTGAATTATATGGAGATGATAGTTTAGAGCGTTGTGGAGCCATGAAATTTGACAAAAATCGATTATGAATTATGGTTTGACTCTTTCAAAGTTTCACGTGCGAATTACGTGTAAACACGTAAGGGACAAAGATAAATGTTCGTTATGAACGAGTTTCTTCATTAGTGCGAAGGAGTCGCTTGGTTGACGAATAAGCGTAGTTAAGTCGAGTCATTCGTAAGAGTGTTTTACTTGTATTTTGATATTGTTTTTCGGTTAATTGATAGAAATACGAGTTCGTCCGGTCAAGAAATCTTTGTAGGTTGGTTTTCGGCTTTTCTAGGTAAGTGATGCCATCTCTTTTACGAGTTTGCAAACTCATATTTCGAAAGTCATAAAAATTTAATGTATTATAAGTTATGAAAGAGCATATTTGTTACACAAAATTTTGATCGGGCATTTACTACTTTTCGATTATTTAGGAATGGTTTGAGAAACACTTTATGAAAGGCGTTGCATATTGATTGTGAATCTGGCTTATGAAATGAATTCCAAAATGATATGAAAAATATCATGTAAAATATATTATTTTGATGAACGAAGTTGCGAAAGTGTATATATATACATGTATGTATGTTAAAATGTATTATGTTTATTAGATGGATATGGATTTGGTTTAGTGGATTATTAGAGAATGAAGGTTTGATGCTCATTATCGCTCTGAACCCGGTTAGGGAAATTAGGTATGCATACTAGTTTAAGGATATTCTTTTGGGCCAAGCCACCTACTGACATACATCTAGGGGTGTGCAAAACAAATCGCCCGGACCGAGAATTGCCCGACCCTGACTGGACCGGCCGGTTTGGTCCGATTCCCGGGAGT